ACTTTGAGTACACAGAGCGGTCCAGCTTCATGTGAAGTGGTGCCTTTCACAAGTGATAAGCCGGGACAAGAGAGGGTACCACCACACACCTTGAGTTTTCAGAGTGGTCAAGCTTCATGTGAAGAGGTGCCTACCACAAGTGATAAGCCGGGACAAGAGAAGGCACCATCCCACACCTTGATTTTACAGAGCCCTCCAGCTTCATGTGAAGAGGTGCCTACCACAAGTGATAAGCTGGGACAGGAGAGGGCACCACCCCACACCTTGAGTACACAGAGCGGTCCAGCTTCATGTGAAGAGGAGCCTACCACTAGTGATAAGCAAGGACAAGAGAGGGCACCACCCCACACCTTGAGTACACAGAGTGGTCCAGCTTTATTTGAAGAGATGCCTTCCACTAGTGATAAGCAAGGACAAGAGAGGGCACCGCCCCACACCTTGAGTTTACAGAGCCCTCCAGCTTCATGTGAAGAGGTGCCTTCCACAAGTGATAAGCCGGGACAAGAAAGGGTACCACCCCACACCTTGATTTTACAGAGCCCTCCAGCTTCATGTGAAGAGGTGCCTACCACAAGTGATAAGTCAGGACAAGTGAGGGCACCACCCCACACCTTGAGTTTACAGAGCCCTCCAGCTTCATGTGAAGGGGTGCCTACCACAAGTGATAAGCCGGGACAAGAGAGGGTACCACCCCACACCTTGATTTTACAGAGCCCTCCAGCTTCATGTGAAGAGGTGCCTACCACAAGTGATAAGTCAGGACAGGAGAGGGTACCACCCCATGCCTTGAATTTACAAAGCCCTCCAGCTTCATGTGAAGACACTACCATTACTGGTGAACAGTCCCCAGAGTCTTCATTACCAACTTCATCTACCCTCTCTGCTAGAGATGAAAAGTTACTTAAAGACCTCATGGAATATGTCAATTTTAGCAGTGATGAGGATGATGATTGGATTGATGAAATGGAATTGGATTCAGAGTTTATTCCTTCAGAGTCAGAGGAAGAAGAGAGTACTTCTGATGAGGATATATCATCCTCCACGTGTGTTAAAGGTGTTAAAAGAAAGAGTTATGAAGATGATGTGCTTATTTCATCTACAACAAATAAGGGCATTGACAAGGATCTTGTAGAGAATTCTGACAGTGACGTGTCTGAAGAGATCCCTTACCTTCCACCATTAGGTCCATTATGTAACCCACAGTCCAATGAAAATGATGCATCTTCTTCAGAGTCTGATAGTGACATAGACATTGTTGAGGAGGAAATTATCAGAGATATTACTTATCCCTCAATCTTTATTAGAAAAATCATCTCTTCAAAAACAACAAAGTCTGGAAAATTTAAAAAATCTGACCGTGTTTACAATACTAGACACTTCTGCCCATTTTGTTACAAGTCAGTATCAAATTTCATACAACATTTGAATTCAAAAGCACATAGCAAGGAGACAGAAGTTGTTAATCTCAAAGCCCTAGTTGGTAAAGAACGCCAGAAGAACATCTCAATGTTGAGAAATAAAGGTGACCATCTGCAAAATGAAAAAACAATATCAAAGAAACGAGGGGAGATGGTACTTGCAAGAAGAATAGGATCGAATGAAAATTTCAACAGTTTGAACTATGGCCCATGTCCCTTATGCTTAGAGTGGCTTAAGTTGGATACTTTATACAGACACCAAAATAAATGTTGTGCCTTATCAGCTGATTCCAGCTCCTTTACCTCCAAGGGTAATATAATGGTGCAGAGTGCAATGATTGCTGGAAGACTTAAAGAAAAAGCTTCTAAGGCACTTGTCAATGAAGTATTCCCAATCATGCAGGAGGATAAGATTGGACAGGTAGCGAAAAATGACAATCTGATTTTAGCTTTAGGAAATCACTGGCACAAGAGAAATATTGGCAATAAACTAATGAGGAAACATTATGTATCGGCTGTTATGAGACTAACAAGTCGCCTTCTGATTGAAACCAGAAAAATTACACAATCAGAGCAAAGATTGGAGTATTACCTTCAACCGAGATATTTTGCCGAGGTGGCACATGCAGCGTTAAAAGTAGCGAAACAGGATGATGACAATGATGAAAATTTACAGGCCCCTTCAAATGCAATCAAAATTGGTTACCATTTGAAGAGATTATGTAATTTGAAACTGGGCTTAGCAATTAGACAGGGAAATGATGACCAAAGAAGAGCATCTAAAAACTTCTTGAAGCTTATGGAGTTAGAATGGTGTTCAAAACTTGCTAGAGTCAATCTCGAAGAAAGAAGAAGAAATAAGAAAGTTGAGCTTCCTCTACCTTCAGATGTGAAAAAGCTTTCGGATTACTTGAAGACAGAACTAGAATCATTCGACAAAGGAAACCTCACTTACGAGAATTTCAAAAAGGGGTCGACACTGACTGAGGCAGTACTCATCACCTATAACCGGCGGCGTCCAGGGGAAATTCAAGCAATGAGGTATTTTTAAGGCTATTAATCAAATTTATAAATATCTAATTATAATACAATATGGATTTACTCCTTGAGTTTAGGTGAAAATATGTTTTGAAGACATTATCTTTATAAAAGTATAAATAAGTCTTGTTACTTCTTGAAGTCAGATTGATGAAGAGGCATGTAACTGGGTTTTTTCTGAAGGGATATGATATTAATTTTTTTTTGTAAGATTATTATATTATACTGTGTTGACGTAATCATTGATTTGTCAGGTTGGTGGATTACCACAACAGGAAGACTGGAATAGATCCAGGTGTTGGAGGAGAAATAGTGAAATCACTGTCAGAATTTGAAAGAAAACTTGTAGAAGAACAAGATGTGATTGAAATAAGGGGAAAGGTTAGCAACTTTTACATGCATATGTAAACTGTAACTAATTTTTTTTAGCATTTAAAAGTATGTTGTGTATTAAACAATTATTTTGTGTAGGTATTTTTTTTTAATTTTTGCTGTTGATTGTTCTGTTGTAAATGTAGACAAATACATGTACCTTAAGACATTATTCTTTTGGAAGTAAATGCACTTAATATATGTATCATGCAATCTTATGCATTTAATCTTGATCTTTGTATTTTCTATTAGTGTGGAAAATGTGTACCAGTGATCATTCCAAAGTATGTACGTGGAGTTCTGGCACATCTATGTAATCAAAGTGTAAGAGCAGCTGCAGGAATACCAAGCTCAAGTGTCTATATCTTTGCAACAAACAGTGAGTTTATAACAAATTACAGTTGATCTGGCATTATCTATATATTTACAAATGATCTGGTAATCTCTTTATATATTTTGTATACTACACAATTACAGATCTGTTTATTCTTACGATTTTCAGTGTATTTTGTACTGATTTTAAGTTCAAAACATGTCTCATGGTTTGCTAAAGTGATTTTAACAACTAGTTTTCATTATGATCTGTCTGTTTGACACTTTCTGATCGCTAAAACAAGAGATAGATATCAAACATTTAAGTGATGTCATGTGGCCAAAATTGTTTGTAGGGGCAGGTGTTGTTAGGGGATATGATTCTGTACAATTTGTGACGCAGAATGCTGATCTTCAATTTCCAGAACGCATAAGAGGAACAAACATGAGACGTCTCATGGCAACATTATGTCAGGTAAATTTAGTTTTTATCCTTTTTAACATGCAATTAAATGAAACACCCTACTTAAACCAAGTTTTGTGCAAATGATTGTTGACCCACTTCCCCACAGTCAGGCATTTGATAAATATACCATTCCCTATTTCTAACGCAAAATCAGGCATATACCGTTTCCCCGCAATCACACATTTTTACGCTCTTTAAAATGTTCATTTAATCTTCAATTAATGCCAGATTCCTTTTATTTTATGCTTATAAAATCTCATAAAATAAGGAAAGTTATTTTCTTATTAAAATATGATGTCATATTATTATGTACACTATACTTTAGAAAAACTTGTACCAAGTGCTTTCGGGATATTAGGTGTATGTTGCATTTTAACAATTCAGTAAGTTATAAAGAGTTAAACGTAAGACTCGGATTTGTATACTGTTCTGCAATTATAACCAGTTTCTGTCTTGTAAAGGTTTAAATACAGAATTTATGTGTCTTTTTCTTTAGGCCTTGGATGTGACACCTCAACAGCAAAAGTGGATCATCGATCACATGGGCCATACTTTAGATGTGCACAACATTCACTATAGATGTACATCAGATATCATAGAGAGATCAGATATTGCAAAATTATTAATGCTTATGGACAGGAAGCAGGTTGGATACTTTAAAAACAAAAGGTTGGAAGAAATAAGCTTGGAAGGTAAGTGCTCTGCATTTGTTTCATTTTATTCATAAAACTATAGAAATTATCCCATACATGTATTCAAGTTTAAATAAATACCAACTATACATGAACATATATTACTTATTTCATTATTGCTTACTCTTATTAAAAAAGGATAATGTTCAAAAATATGATCAAACATTTTTATTAAATAAAATCATTCTTTCAAATCATAGAATTAATTGAAGAACCAGATGAAGCAAATGACACTGTTGATGAGAATGATGACAGATTCTTGAACACAGATGACGGTGAAAGGCAGGAAGAAGAAGAATTCATCCCAAACCTGTTGGAAGATGAAGAGGAAGAAATTCCAGTCAGTAAGTAATATAATCATTGGTGAGAAATATTTGGCCTAAAAAGTCATTTTTATTAATAGTTGTTTTTCAATACTGGTACAAATTTTGAAGAATTTTTTTTTAGTTAAATGAATTTAGCCAAACAAACCATCATATTATTTATTTTAAAAAGCTGCATGCATAATTTGAGATTTCAACAATCTTTGAAATATGGACTTTTTATGCCTCCCTTTGAAGATGGGAGGGCATATTGCTTTGCTGCTGTCTGTCTGTCGTCCGTCGGTCTATCGGTCCACTTAGTTTCCGTTCATTTTCTTTGCAACCGTTGCACATACTGAAATGAAATTTGGTATACAGATATATCTCATGAATATCTAGGTCAAGTTTTGTTTTGGGTATGATCGCCCCATTTTTGACAGAGTTATGCCCCTTGGACTTAGTAAAATTCCAATTATTTGCAGTTTCTGTTCATTTTCTTTTCAACCATTGCACATACTTAGATGAAATTCAGTAGTATAAGTTCTGGTTTGGGTAAGTTCGAGCCATCTTTTAAAGAGTTATGCCCCTTGGACTTAGAAAAATTCCAATTATTTGCAGTTTCCATTATTGTTATTTATTAAAATTCATTTTCTTTGCAACCGTTGCACATACTGAGATGAAATTTAGTATATGTATACAGATTTATCAGATGAATATCTAGATCAAGTTCTGTTTTAGGTATGATTGCACCATTTTTGACAGAGTTTTTCCCCTTTGGACTTAGAAAAATTCCAATTATTTGCAGTTTCTGTTTTTTTTCTTCACAACCGTTGCACATGCTGAGATGAAATTTAGTGTACAAATTTATCAGATGAGAATCTATGTCAAATTCTGTTTTGGGTACAATCCTGCCATTTTTGACAGAGTTTTGCCCCTTGGACTTGGACAAATTTCAATTTTGGGGGAGGGGGCATAAGTGTTTTACAAAAATCTCTTGTTTGGATATGTTTATCAATCTTTGTTCATGTGTGTGTGTGGGGGGAGTTTCTGACTGTTAGGAATATATAGGAAAAATCTTTAAAAATCTTCTTTCCACAACCATATAGGAAAAATCTTTAAAAATGGACCAGGAAAGATGAAGATGAGAATTATGTCAAATTCTGTTTTGGGTACAATCCTGCCATTTTTGAAAGATTCTCTTTTGTGTGTGTGTGTGTGTGGGGGGGGGGGGGGTAGTATTACTTTAACATTTATAAATTTATTTCATATGTGCTTTTTCAGATGACTGTTAATCCTATTGGCCTCATGTTTTTCTTGCTGGTAATCATTGTCTGCAAAATTTTAATACATTGTTCTGTCAAAAAATTTGTTACAGAGTCAAGGAAGAAGAAAAAGGCCAGTTTTACGAGGAAGAAATGGACAGTAGCAGAAGAAGAAGAAATAAAGAAGAGGTTTGCAGGTTTTCTTGCACGAGATAAGTGTCCTGGTCAAAAAGACGTTGAGAAAGTGATGGCCCAAAGCAAGAAATGTGGTGGTCTACTGCATGCACGACCAAGAGACAATATTAAGAAAAAAGTCAGCTGCATGCTGGTTAAAGCTAGAAAAAATAATAATGATTTGTAATGATGTAATTGAATCATTCCGAAAAATACCTCATATTGCATGTGAAAAGAGCTTTAAGAGTTATTCTCTATACCAAGGCGCTTTAAACTTATTTGTATTTTTTTTCATATTGTTATGTTACCAAAGGTTAAGGTCATTGTATATATTCAATTTGTTCAAGGGTTGTGTTAGATTCTTTGTAAAAATGAAAGAGGTATATCTAGACTTTTAATTGACAAAACCAAATGGAAGTTACAATTCAATATTATAATTAGCATTGAAAACGCGATAAAAAGTTCCCATTATTTCAAGTACATGTTTAATGCGAAAAAATAGTCAGTTTTATGTATTTTTGTTAAATAAATGATCAGTTGTTTTGACCCATCTTTTAGTATGATCACCTATAATTGTGACCAACTTTCACAAATATTAAAAACAGAGAAACTCGAATTCTTCTTTCAGTTCAACATGTGTGAAAATATAGTGAATATTTTTTTCACTTCTTGTTGACCAGGAAACTACTTGATTGTTTACTTTTGCTCACTGATTACTGTAGTTATTAGCACTGGTGATGATTATTGCACTTCCTGTTCATTACATATTTTTGCTGTTTTGGTTTTGTACATGTACAAATGCATCATTTCTGAAAGATAGTACATGTACTATTAAAAGTGAAAATGGTATTTATTACTAGATTTAAAATATTTCATTTTAACTTTTTGACTTGCACTTACTTTTGATAGATAATATCATTTTTTTTTAAATTGTCTATATTTAGAATAACACAACAAAAACTTGGTAGAAGGTTATTCAAGGAAATAGTCCGAAATACCCTTACATCATGAATAGAATTTTTTTGAAGAACAAGACTGTGGAATAGTTGAAAGAAAACAACAATGCAGTATTGCCACATGTACATTTTTTTCATGTGTTCATGACATCCTTTTTATGTGCTCTCTTAAAAGATGTTACATCATCTGCTGTTAACACTTTCAACATGTTCAAATTATGCTACTTTTATTGATGTTTTGGGAAGAAAATTTTATTAATAGATTAGAACTAGAGTACACAAACATTTTATTCAATAATTGGTTAAAATATTAAAGATATGTTTATCATGATGGAAATAATGATTGAAAAGAGATCATATTTACCATAAAAACCTGGTTTTTGTAGATCTTGATAATGTGACCCTTAAAATATTTAATTTTTAACTAAAGAACACTTTTTCATTCATAATTATTAATGTTCATTGCGCTTTCATCAAAGGGATGAGAAAGTGTTTTGCTCATTATGTTACTTGTATGCTCGCATGCATAATTTGTAGAGATATACATTAAACTATTAAATTATGTGAAAATTATGTATTGTGTTGTGTCAAATATGTGGATGCCATATTCTTTTCACGCAAACGATAGAGGGACAATAAATAGGAGACTTAACATGGAGTCATTTCCATTGCTGTTAACTTCGTTATGGACAAAGAGTGGGATAAATTCTTTGTATGAAAAAAATATTTGTTTTGCACAAAGTCGAAAAAGTATCAATTTAAAGAAGGATATGAAATGGGAGAATTCATCGTGGAAAGTATTGCTACAACGGCGTATTAGTGCCATTTTAACATTGTAGAATTTTTTTAAAAATCGTTTGTATGATTTAGTAAATCATTTGCACAATATAGTAAATCGTTTGTATGATTTAGTAAATCGTTTGTACGATTTAGTTATTAAAATCGTTTGTACGATTTAATTAATCGTTTGTACAATTTGTTTGTTAAATTGTTTGTACAATTTATAAAATTGTTTGTACAATTTAATAAATTGTTTGTACAATTTAATAAATAGTTTGTACAATTTTATAAATTGTACAAACGATTCATTAAATCGTACAAACGATTTATTAAATCATACAAACGATTTAAAAAACAAATTCTACATTGTTAAAATGGCACTAATACACCGTTGTAGTATTGCACTAGTGTTGGATAAGTTTTTTTTATATATATATTAAAGAAAATGATGGAGGAAACACTTGGATTTAGAACTGTCAGCATTTTACTATACTGTTATACTTGAATAAAGTGATTCTCACCCACTGTGGTTTGGATCCAGAATGATTACCCCAAGTAGGAGTAAATAAATAAAATACTGATTTTGAATGAAAACAGGATCACAAGATTATTGAAGTTGCTAAATGAACATCCATTCTTTCCAATGTCAGTAAGATGGGGACTTACCGACCCCATTTTTTTGCAGAGTTAGATTTAATTATCAGGAAGTTGCTTGTTGGAAGTCTGTGCAGATTTTTTTTATAATGTTGGTAGACCCCCCCCCCCTTCGCCACACACATACAATTTGCTTCTGACACATGTGCTATTGATGAAGGAAAGTTATGAAATAACATAAGTGTCAAATACATATAAAGCGTAAGGGGGTAGGTGGAGGGATGACTGTGAAAGAGAAATGAAATATTCAAACCTGGCAAAAAAGAGAAATATTTTGCATTAGAAATCTCGAGTTTTTATTCAATACTTCTTTGACAAGCTGAATTTAAATGTGACTATTGTCCTACAACAAAAAAATTCACGGTGTAGGGGGGGGGGGGGGGGTAGTCAAACTTCTTTCAGCACAAAATCTTTCTTTCAAACACCCAATTACCCTTCGACCTCGCTGAAACGTGCCTGTTAAAGGGGGTGGGGGTGGGGTGTGTGTCAACTTACGCCACAATGTTTGATACCTAAATGATGATTGACCTTTGCAAAAAAATAAAGTAGGGGGCTAAGCCTCCCCTAGCCCCCACAGTTCTGACGCCTATGAATCTGATTAACTTGATAATTTCATATAAATTCCCCATAGTACAGACACAAAGACGGACATTTCATTTGTACCTACGAATGTGGTACCCATAATGAACAGACAAGAAATTTTCTTAATGACTAATTATACCGACAGAAAAATTCATACCCATATTGATTTTTTGTACCAACCATTCATTCCCCACAAAGTACAGACAGCAAAAATCCCACAATGTTGTTTGAAGTTAAGGTCAAGCCTTCATGATATTTGCATTCATTGAAGGCTGGCATTTTATATAACACAAGCTTCATAATTGTTTAAATATCCATTCAATGTTAAGTTGTTCTTTACTGCCTAATGTAAATACAAGGATATTATTTTCATGTTTTTGAATATTCAGGAATTATCTTGAAATTTTAAGAATACAGTTGGTGTTGCTTATTCTTCATACATTTATTAATCATTCTGTAAGCTTCACCCTTTTAATTCTACCCCATGGCGGGGCCCTTGCTGACTGGTCAGTTTTCTAGTTAACATAATCATATAAAACCATTCATATAAGAGTTAAGATTAGTATTATATTTGTCAGCAAGTCATCATCAGCCTGTGAGGCCATTCAGTCCTTTGATTTTTTTTCAGTCCTTTATTATTGTTTTATTTAATGTCTTCAGATTCAAAGATGTGATTTTTCTACAACTTTTGCCATGCCTATAGGAGAGTTATTGTGTTTCCATAGGGCAATGCTTCCACAAATAGTTATTTTTCTGGGGAGGTATTTTTATTATCAGGTTGTGATTGTTGCATGCACATGTTGTTGTTAAATGTCTGTGCCAAGGAAAGAAGATCCAATAAAAACTAAAACTTCATCATACTTCTTTTTATTGCTTTCCAGAAGAAAAAAATTGCACAATATGGAGGTCTGAATGGGCAATTGACAACCATAAAACTACAAATCATTTTTGTTGCCCAGTACATGTATATACATTTTAATAAAAAAAAATGCACATTTTTTCTAATATCTATAATTTGGAATTGAACTATGAACATATTTATATTTCAATATGTACAGTAATAAACTCTATATATTAATATAGCACTCGGAGAGGAAGTTGTGTCGATTCTGGAGTTATCTCCCCTATTGCAATAGTCACAGAATCCCCTCAGAAATGTGCTAGGAAATGTAAAGAATATTCTCCTTTGTGTATAGAATATTCTCCTTTGTGTAAAGAATGTTCTCCTTTGTCCAAGAATCAAAAGCTGTTTCGATTCCTTATTATATTAGTTGAATTAGAAAAAGCAACTTTTCAAAAATAAAAATTCCCATCCACAGTACATAAAAAAATCATTAAATTACATTCTAAATTATTACTAATGTCTGTAACACATACTTTATGTTTATGACAATTATATGGCACATCTTGCGTATAAATATACATTCTGTATCAAAAACAAAATCAAAATTTCCGTGCAAAACAAAATATGTAAAGTTATATTGTAACAGAAAATTTAACAATATAATGAATGTTGTTTATACATGTACATGAAAAAGTTGCATACTGAGAACATATTGGCAATCCATGGTTTTTGTGTCCATCCCAGTTTGTTGGAAATAGAATGGACCCAAAATCCGTGGCTTATGACACTGATGTATTAAGTAATGTTTTAAGTATTCACAGCAAATAACGACTGCTTTGTACATTTCATGTACAAGCTATATACAGGGTTTGTGGAGCTATATAATCAGCCACATGCTTTGTTTTGTCGGCGCTGGTGTCTGTATAATGAGGCAAAGGAATGTTCCATTTGGATTTCGGCTACTGAGGGGCTTGAATGTTGTTTTGGTTCAACACTAGTAAAGTTATATCACAGCAGGCAGTGATGGGATAATTCCTATGAACAGCCTCTCATAGTCCCGAACGTGTTAACCGTCATGACTTACAAAGTTGTTGCACATAAACATGATAAAGGCTGTAATGTGTATTTTAAGAAATTTACACAAGTTTTTAACGATTTTTAAATCGTTAGAATAAAAGCATTTGTATTATCTTGAGATAAGTCAGAGGGGCAATAAATTCCAAACAAAGATAAATAAAACGGCGCCAAATATGGTCCGTGACGTCACAGCGGATGTAGTGGCGCTGTTAGGTTGATCATTCTGAAGGCTGCTGTATTTCGGCGTCAGAGGATGACACACGGGTGGACGCTGGTTTAACGTGATGTGTTCTAAGAACATGGCGGCGCTGTCTCCACAATTCTGGTTCACTGGTTCTAACAAACACTCAGTCATTATCTGGTGGGTGCTGAAAGATCAAAGTTAACGGACGGTCAAATGTTACACTTCTTAAACATGTTAAAGAATACAAACTTTGAGGGCGGGGATCCAAAAATGTAAAGTCAAAATTAAAATACCCGAAGAGTACAATATAATTCACCAAGCCCAAAGGGCGAGGTGCATACATACTTCCCCAGGATTGCTAAATCACTGCGAATTGCACATTTTTTATGAAATGAAAACTAAGGACTTACGAACAACTAGACAATATCATGACCTCAATAGGAGATTTGGCCGTTATTTTCCTTCGAAAGCTCTCCATCTGAGGCCGAGAGCAGTTAGTGGCAGCTTGGTGCTGATCTTGAATACATCCTATGTGTTTTTCATACACTACAAAAACAATAGAAGATCTGTATGAATTAGTATAGGACGTTAATAATTCATGATCAATTACAGAGCAAATAAATATTATAATCTATTTGACAATAAAATTTGAACTTATATTAGGCGCTTAGCTGAGGCGTACGTTTGTACGCACAGCAACCACATAATTTTTGTAAGAAAAAAAGAGGCAGGCGTAATTTACATATATGCTTGTGTACTCTTAAAGCATACACACCATTTTGCAAATTGAAAAAATAAATTAATCTAAAAATGAAAAAATTCCTTGGAAATATTAATAATTAGAATAAGAATAAAACGTACATGAAAAGTAACAGAATCAGTTTTAGCCTGAGGAAAAAATACGGAAATACACATGTATACACCCCTCTAAAATCATTAGGTTTTCCCAGAATTTGGTAAATTATTGAATATTGTTGAGATTTTCTAAGTGCATTACATTTAACCACTTTAACCGACTATTTTGACCACACATATTTTGTCTCTTCAAAAGTGTAAGATTGCTTTTTAATGGGTTCGTCATACCACGATACTGGACAGATCCTTTCTCATTTTTGAGTGTTTTTCTGCATTTCGTACAAAAAAGAACAGACCTCGAATGTGGCTGCTTAACAAACTTAAAAAATCTAAGAGAAAAGCGACCAGGAGCTAGTATATAGGGTCGAATATCGACATCGAAATCGTCGAAAATTTACAATGCACTTTTGGCCCCCACCTATTAGGGCCTTGAGGCGGCCCAACCCCCTTGCCTACTCGATCAGGAGTCTACATCATAAGAACCCTGACTATGCCCCTGTGTAAATGGGTAAGGTAGTTTAGTTCCGGCAATTAGAAAAACAATGTCAACTAATGTTCTAATTTCAGGACAGTTATTTCTATAGAGAAAATCTTTTATAGTCGATCAACTTTGTACTCATCGGCGGCACCCACGGAAAACCCGACGATGATTACCTTTATCACAGAGCAGCTATAAGAACTATAAGAGCAAAAAAATAAATTTTAAAATAAATATAACCCCCCTTAAATTTCAATATCATTTTGCAAAGATTATTTTATATGTTTCAGATTTATCTTCCATTTCAATAAATGTGAATTATCTCTTTCATCCAACCTGGGATGCTTTAATGAAATATCTGCCTACTGATTTCGCGGAGTATTTATTATTTAAACAAGAGATGTTTGGTAAACACTTATGCCCCCTACCCCAAAATTAGATTTTTTCGAAGTCCGAAAGGGCATCTCTGTCAAAAATGGTGCGATCGTACCCAAAACAGAACTTGACCTAGATATACATCTGATAAATCTTCAGTATGTGCAACAGTTGTGAAGAAAATGAAGGGAAACTAAGTGGACCGACAGACCGACAGACAGAAGCAAAGCAATATGCCTTCCCTTCTTCGAAAGGGGGGGGGGCATAAAAATGACGTTTTTCTTAATGGCAAACAACACAATAATCGACTTATGAGGACAGACAAAACATACTAATATGTCCACCAAAAAAACTCTTTTGACCTTCAGATGACCTCCACCCTTTTTATCACAATGTTGTTCACAGTTAACACGCCCCCCCTTTTTAAGAGCGGTTATTTGCTGTAATGGTACTTACGATCGAAATTGTCACAGAAGTATCTGTACGTGTACTCTATGTCCTTGTGACTGAACAGCCTCTGCAGGTTCTGTTCTTCATCTGTCATCCCGGTACATTTGTCCATCACACGCTTCACACAGTTAGAGGCCTCGGCAAGACTGGAAGACCTACAACATGGAGGTAAATTATAAATCACAGTTATACAGTCCTTAACTGGAGGACCTACAATGTTCAACTATAAGTAAAAGACATAGAATTTTCTGTAAGACGTACAATAGAATAGTCATGTAAAATACAATTAGACCTAAATTATCTGGAGGGCTTGCAATATTGAAATATGATTTGACCCACAGTGTGAAAGTGAAGCATTCAAAAAGAAACCCAGACTTGGACAGTTATATACTGTATATAGACAAATCTACGCTGGATGATCTGTAAATATAATGAGATGTAGTGAATAGCATGTATGATACGGAGTTTGACAAAAGCACAGGATCCTTACAATGGACAAACGGAGGCCGTGATCAAATTTAACGTTAATATATTTTTACATAGCAAAGTGTAAACCAATGACTCATGTGGTTTTTTAATCCTATAAAATTCAGAATAAACATTGCTACTGAGCTCAGAGTGGCTCATTACATCCAATTACAACGCAAAAAAAAATCATCTTTCATTTCCGCCTGAATTTTGAGTATTTACAATTTGGGAATCAAAAACATTATGTCACAAACAATCATGCAACTTAATTAGAATAGTACTTATGTAATTCATATTTTTGCGCATTGGAATATTCGAAATTAGGTTATACACACTGTATATATTTGAACTGTAGTAATTTGTAGAGAATCAACTGAGGACCTAAATGTTGACATGAGACCTTCATTCCGAGCTGTGTTTCAAATTTGTGTTGGATCTATTTCCGAGAAATGTTTTAACTTTTTTTCAAGTGTACCTAAATATATAAATAAACAAAAATGTTCATTGACAGACGTATACGATTATACTGTCACAGGGCGCCTTGTAAAAATCTTTGATAACCTCTATAGCTGTTGAACTATATAAGAGATGTGATACCTAATTGTTCAGTATTTCACTCAATGCTGGTAGACACCCCTTTTTGTAGATGATCCAAGTTTAACCATTTTAAGAGTATAAAAAAGATTTTTATATACAGTCAAACTTGTCTAATCTGGATGTTGTGTATTCCAAAATTTTATCTAAAACAACATAAACTCCAAGCCTCTTCTTTTAATTTCGTCGCCCGCGTGGCGCAGTGGTTAGAGCGTCTGTTCTAAAGTCGCGAAGTAAGCAGTCGATGCTAATGTCGCGGGTTCGAATGAGACATCTTTTTTTGATATACATCTATACATACCTACAGGCTCCCCACATGATCTCTATCTCCCTCTTCAGGTTGTACTTTTTTGACATAGATCTATACATACCTACAGCCCCCCCCCCCCAACATGATTTCTATCTCGGCCTTCAGGGACTATTTTTTTGACATACATGTACATCTATACATACCTACAGGCTCCCCACATGATCTCTATCTCCCTCTTCAGGTTGTACTTTTTTGAGGGAGCGAAGGATGGAATGGACGAGCTGATACAGTTTCTGACGGTCTGTACGGCCTCTGGGGGACAGCTGGACCTGCTCTCCGCGTACCCTGACGATGGGAAAAAATGTACAGGTAATGATAGACGAGGTCCATAACAGATATAGAGGCTGCATTTAAGGTCTGATAATTATAGTTCTTCAGTCCTCGTTTACCAAATGTTAAAGTGTCTGGCAAGCTTATAAAAATGTATTTGTGAAACAATAATTCCCCCGTATGGAAGCTTATGGCAAGGGTTGACGATTCTAAAATGCAAGTCAAACTCCAAGAAAAAAATTGTTGGTCTTGTCACAAGGAATACACATGTGAAATATGAAAGCCCTGGTTTTAACTGTTCGAAAAATTGTTGGTCTTGTCACAAGGAATACACATGTGAAATATGAAAGCCCTGGTTTTAACTGTTCGAAGGTTATTTTAAAAGTGGGTCAAACTCTAAGGTCAAGGTCAAAACGTACAAATATATATAGTTATTAAATGTCTTGTCATAGTGAATAAATATGTGAAGTATGAAAATTCTAGTACCAACTAATAAAAAGTTATGACCAGTCTTTAAGTTTGAAAATTCTTTGTATAAATGGGTCAAACTACAAGGTCAAAGCCAGGAGGTCAAATTTGGTGGTACACGAGGAAATGTCTTGTCGCAAGATATATACTAGTATTGTGAAATTTGAAAGTCATAGCCCCACCACTCAAAAGTTTTTGGTAAGGTAGGTTTAAGTTATTTTGCGGACTAAAAGAGAAAGAAGACAGACGGACGGACAGGGTAAAACTATATACTCCCGAATCTTCGATTACGGGGACATAAAAACTTTGCAGTTTTCGCGGACATACAGACAAATGAATGTACAAACATGCAGACACACAGATAGACAGCTAGACAGACCCACATTAATTTCACTCAATTTTACCAAAGAACGGAGAGAAAATAAATAAAGGTCATTGAAAAGATTAAAATTAAATTGAAATACAAGATTTTGGTACCAACTCTCCCTTATCAAGCAACAAAGAACCCATGTCAGTGCTTATACAAACAAGATTTAACACAAATGCATGGTCGCCCAGCATTGCCCACGAAAATTAGACTTGAGATCATATACAATGTTCTTAATAATTAATGGTCTCTTGGTTTTAATAATCAAAAGTATTTTGGTAATGTAACCTCCACTAATTTTTTTCTAGTAAATTCTGGTTAATACGTTTAATAATGTCTCGGTTGCCAACAAATAGGAACTGATCGGCAAAGTGACTTTAACTAGCATTTCGCACAATGTTTCTTTCTTTTTAATTTTATCATTAAAAAACTAGTCTTAGCTCGTCCTTGAATCTGTGTTCAAGAAACATGCATGCATTAGAGAATGCAGGTATCTGCATTAAAGTCATAACAGTCTTTGAACCCTACAGCATTCCTCATTAACCCGAACTCATTCTGACTTCTGCAATATTTTGGTCTATTCGGACATGAGATAATATATTTGCTTTCTACGCTTCAACTCTTTAGAAGTATGCAAAGGTGACAAGTTGATTTAAGTTTAAGCAATATTAGACGTTCTGAATCCTCCAAAAACTAGACATGCAAGATATCTCAGATTCCTTAATAACAAGAACAAAATAAATTCAAAAAAAAAAAAAAAGATCTGTTTGTGAAACACTGATGCCCTAGAATGACAGCTTATGGAAAAGTTTTTCGAATGAAAGTCAAAGGCCAAGGTCAAGAGATCAAAAATGTTGTTACCCAAAGAGAGGTTTTTGACCCCTCTATACTATAAAAACAAACAACTGTTGATTTTAGAGTATAGAGGGGTAGATCTATGTAGACTGTCAAGACTCATTCGTCATCTATAAACTTACGTGGGGAGCGCCTATAGGAAATATAACAGTCTGAACGCCCAAAAAGTTATGGCGAACGTTGAACTCTTTCAAATTTCAAGGTGAAGGTCAAAATGAATAGTGCCCAAGGAAAGGTCTTATAAAAAGAAATACATATTATGTAAAGACAAAAACAAAAACATAGCACTAACTGTTCAAATGTTATTGCGACGGTTAAGGTTTTTCAAAAGTAGTTCAAAGCCCCAAGGTCTGGATCAAAGGTCAAAATTGTTGGTACCCAAAGCGAGTTTTTTTTTTCCCACAAGAAGTACAACTGAAAAATTCTAGCCCAAGTACTGATCATTCAAAAGAAATTACCAAGGTTCAACTTTTATTAAACCCCAAGATCAAGATCTTCGATGTAAAGGTAAAAATGATTTCACAAGAATTTAAAAAAAAAACCTCATCACCAGTTGTACAAAAGTTATGACTGGCAGGTAAAGTTTGGTAAAATTTGCTGCAAAATTGGATCAAACTCCAAGATCAAGAGGTAATATAATGTCGGAACTCAAAGAGAGTCTTGTCAAAAGGAATACACATGTGAAATACAACAGCCAGATCAAAATTAAGGCAAAGTTTTCGCGGTGAAACAAACAGATGGACAGGGCAAAAACTATATGCCCCCGAATCTTAGATTACTGGTGCATGATAAAGCCGTTAGGTGAGAATACACATGTGCGCGCGCCATTCAGAAAATGGTGTTTGTGATCTCAGTGAACACAAAGACGCATATTTCTTTGATAGAAAATTACATAATTTTCCAGTATTTATCATTTTCTGCATGTCTGGATGAAAAGATCGCTCTGTAATAAAGAGAAGCGCAGACAGCGGGTTGCCCTGTATGAAGGCAAAGAGTGACCCGTGAAACTCCTCCAGACTCAAATAAACCGCTGTTTCGCTTCATTCACGTCTGGCATTCATAAAAATGCTACTGTTTACTGAGTCATAGTTTAGAAATACATCACAGCCGATGGTATATCACATCCTTTGTACACTATTATCTGGTCACGATCGTCACATTTCCGGGATAGGGTTAATTAAATTGCTTGTGCACAAAATCTCTACTCTCACTATTGATAAAAAAAAATCAAGTCATTCAAAGAGGTAAAAAAAAATGGTCCTAAAACTTAAATTCATTATTTTCACCAGAATTTTACTATATTGGAAACCTTGGGTCATAGATTAGATTAAGCCCTCTTCTTCAATTTTCAGTCATCTAGAAATAATTTCAGTCACAGCTTTAATGCTTGTTTGAATATTGTTTAATGACTATAAACGTATTAAGTAAATGTGCAAAAAAGGTCATCCAGTACAATTTATTTAGTCAGAAACAGTGTATTACATGCATGATTTGAATTTAAACCATTTTAGAACACACATTTCAGACCCACTGGTTCTAGTTGTGACTTAATTTGGCATTCGATGTTCTTTGAAGAAATTTTAGAATTCTAACAATCACCGGTCAAATTTGAATTCAATTGCAAATTCATCTTCTTTTTCATTTGTTACTGTTAATTAACTCATATGAGCGTTCTTGATGGGTACACACGTTCCTCCTTTAAACATTACGGGCAGTTATTGAACAGCGCACCTGTCGAAATTGACTCCAGGACCCAGCAGCGTCTGACACTATCTAAGGTTAACCTTTAATGATCGCTAAAGGCATGACGGAATTTTGGCGCGTTTAGCAACACAGAACAGGCATTTGATTTTATTAGAGTACTCATTTAGAAGAAAAATCTGCCTTAGTACACATTATTTCTATGATGTGTTTCTAGAGAGAGGGTGGCAAGCTAGTAATATACAAATTATTACTGCCTATAACTTATAGCCCTTGTGTTAGACAAAATTTTAATGATACTTATGATGAATGATGATAAAAAGTGTTGTATTTCTTCAAGATTTCAGGTAATAAATCGTGGATATTCTACAGCTTTGTACGTCAATTTTTTTTTTTTTTTTTTTTTGCATAAAAGAGGCGCCAGCGAAGCAAATTTTAATTCTGTATGATACTTGTGGTAAAACAATTCTATAATGATCTTGAAAAAATCCGGTTCTCTCATAAACTAAATCACAACAAAAACCAAAATAATAACTTGAAGAGGGGGAGGGGGGATAATATTAAAATATGTTAAAGAATTAATCGATTCCACAAAATAACTCATTTAATATTAGTCTAATGAAGCAATGCACAAGTTGTCTTAAAACATTGTGAAGTTCAGGCGAGCGTTGTAGTCTGTATAAATCTTGTATATCGCTAACTCTCATCAAAAAATGATGTATAAAGGTGCAAAAAATGAGATGAAAGTTGTCAATACATACATTAGTGATGATAAAATGTTGTTTATGCCGATAACAGAATTCCCATAGCTTAATATGATGTGATAGCAAAGCCTCATGACTGTATATTAACTGAAGAAAAAACCTGTGACCGCCAGAAAACACGTGTTTTTCTTATCTATCTATCTTGTACTTATCCTTTGTGGTTCATTTCAATGTTCGCTACATTGAGAGGAAAAAACAAAATAAACAGGATTGCAAAACACAGGAGCACTAGAGGTAAATAAACCGTGTCCTTAGTTTTTGTAACAAATTGTTACAAAGCGTCATGCAAATATAAAAACCAATTGAAGATAGACGGAAGAATGGAAAAATATTGGTAAAAGTATACATTTCATCACATTGAAATCTTCTACATTATGTTACATATATTATGTTACATTTAAAATGAATGTATGCAAATTAAGAAAGCTCTAGATTTAAGATTTCAAACGTCGATTATGTCAAAGAGAAACTCGTACTATAATACAGAGTCCGGCACGTCTGTTCCATATTTGGATATTTTATTAGAAAAAGATGTTTATGGTAGCGTAATTAATTTCCAACGTCAATTCCCCTTTCTTATGTAGCAAAATAACTTTAACAATACATGATGTTTATACCTCCCAGTTAATATATATGAGCAATTAAGAACATACTCTACATACGAACAGTTTCTGACACAAGGTAAGCCACTGACAATTAAGTTGACGAAACAAGGATAAATATCAACCTCTTTGCAAGTTTCGTTCTTTGACCAAAGTTTGTTTGCATATACAATCTGCAAGTAGAATGTTGACTGACATTTTTTCAACAAATTGTAGGTCATTAATTTCACACTGTATTGTCTGCGAATTTTCCCGAATACATGACATTAGAATTAAGTTTCAGCGAGTGTGGCGGTCGACAGGGGTTGCTTACTCCTCCACGGCATCTGA